ATGTGTCCCTTTGAATGGTATCATTTTTTCATCAATATACAATTTTTCACTCATTGGAATACTCTGAAAATTTTGAACTAGACCGTTGATGAATGGTCTAATTTTGTATAATTTATCATTATTGTTGACCATATTTTCGTTATTATTGAAATGAATTTTAGTTTTTATTTCTTCCCAGCGATTCCTAGATATAGTGTCAACTATTTGAGCAACACGTGTTTCCTTCTGCCAAAATGATCTTGGTTTATATATAATAAATTGGCTTAATTCTGCTAGTGTCATATTCAATGGTTTATTTATATTCTTTTGCAGTGCATACAAATTACTTTGTTCTACTATGTTTTCCGGTTCTAATAATTTGCATGTCGGTAAATTACCTTTCCATTCTGGAATTGGAAATACTGTTCGGGGACCGAAATACTGTCCACTGAATGTTTTTTTGGATCATTTTTGACCTTTTGAACACATATTGTTCAGTGTGTTTTTCTGTTTTATCGGTATCATCCTCATCTTTATCTTGGTCGAAATCTAAATTGATATCCTGGTCTAAATTTGCTTCGTACAAATCGTCTTCATTTTCCATTTCATTTGATCCTGGATCGATTGATATTTGAGTACCCATGGAAAATTCATTCTCTTCAAAGTCAGAGCCTTCGGATTCTTCGGATTTGTTGGGAACTTTTACAAAGAATAACGGATATTTACTGCTTTTTTACAAAGCAACATACCTGTTTTTTATCACAGTACTGAAACAGCACAATAAAATAAACAAATTTCAACGACAATCAATATCTAAATGCTGTTATAATGTCTATGTATTTTTATATAAATTGTACACAATTTATAACAATAAATCACGATCGAAAATATAAACTAATAAGGCAGCCATGTGCATTTGGCATACTGTTAAAAATTTCCATATAAATTTCATAGATGGCACTAAGTGTATTAAAATGTATAACCAAATGTTGCCTGAAATCAACAGAAAGCATCTTAAAGTTGGAAAATTTTTTAAAAAAGTTTTCTGCATCAAATCCTCCTTTGTTGCCTTGAGTACACACGGGACTTCTTCTTCGTCTAGCCATTCACGTCCACATCTGAACATAAGCCTCTTCAAGTCTTCCTTTCCATTGTTTTTTTAATGTACGCTACTTGTAGCCAATTTTTCCCGGCAGTCCTTTTCAGATCATCTGTCCATCTCATAGGAGGTCTGCCTCTGGGTCTTTTGTGTTGGTATGGTCACCAGGTTAAAATTGATCTATGCCATTTGTTTAGATCGCTCCTAGCTACATGTCCAGCTTATTCCCATTTCAACTTTAATGATTTTTGCACCACATCGGTGACTTTGGTTTTCTGTCTTATCCATGTGTTTGTTTTCTTGTCCTTAAGTGATATACCTAGCATTGCTCTTTCCATCGCGTGTTGAGTGACTCTAAGTATATTCATATTCTTTTTTGTGATTGTCCATGTTTGTGCCGCATAAGTTAATATCGGGATAAAGATTACTTTAGAGTTGTTCCAGCTCTTAGGGACTTTACCCTGATGTAAACAACTGTCCACAAGCTTAGTTACAATTGCAATTAGTTCCTTACCTCCTTCTAATATCATATCTGTGGTAATACTATCTTCTCCTGCAGCTTTATTTCTCTTCATGTTTTCCAATGCTGTAGTTACCTCTGAAATTGTTACTTTTGGCATTATTTCTGATCCAACATTTTTTATTAATTTCCGTGCTGGTCTCATCTCATCATCTTGTTGATGTGATCTGTAAAGTTCTGTGTAAAATTCTTCTATTCGTGTCAGTATGTTTTCTCTACTTGTGATTTCATTTTCGTCTTTTCCCATTAATGATATCATCTGACGTCGTCCTAGTGTCGGTCTGAGGCATTTCATACTCTTGTTTTTTTCAATAGTTGTTGTTATTAATTTTTCGTTTTCTTTTCTCTTTTGTTGTCTTAATCCTTTTCTAATCTGCCTATTAAGTTCTCTATATTCGTCGGTTCCCCTTTTGTTAGATTTATTTAAGATCTTCCTTCTTTCTATTTGTTGTAATATTTCTTTGTCTAATTCATTGTATGTTGTTTTTAGTTTTTTCAGTTGCAGAAGGCTTTTATTCACTGTTTCGGTAATAAGGTTATTCAAATCATCAATATCATTGGAGTTTATCTGCTGCATGCTAACTTGATTTAATGCATGCACTGTCTTTTTATTAAATTCACTATTTTTGATTTCTTCAGATGTCCATTTGTATCTTTTTTCATGTATTCTTTTTCTTTCTAGTTTTTTGTTAATTATTAGTTTTGTTCTTATTAGTCTATGATCGCTTCCTAGGTCAAACTGATTTAATACTGATACATCTTCTACTAGGTTTCCATTCTTCGTTAAGATATAATCTATTTCATTCTTTGTCTTTTTATCGGGACTCATCCATGTCCATTTTCTGCTTGGTTTTTTATTGAAAAAGGAGTTCATTGAGTACATGTTATGTTTATTCATGAAATTGAGAAGCATTTCTCCTGTATCGTTTCTTTTCCCGTAGCCATAGTTACCAAATAAATGTTCATAATCTTCCTCTTTTTTGCCCAATTTAGCATTAAAATCTCCTAATAGTATTTCGTAATTTGCTTTATTTGTTTCTATAGCTGTTCTTATTTCATCATAAAATATTTCTACTTCTTCATCGTCGTGGCTTTTGGTCGGAGCGTACACTTGGATCACTTTCAGAGTGGTTCTTTTATTAATCCTGATGATGAGATATGCTACTCTGTCTGATATGGGCTTGAATTCTTCGATACACTGTGTGAGGCTTTGTTTTACCAAGAATCCCACTCCAGTGTATTCGCCATCTTTATGCATAAAATGTGTGAAATTTTTTAGTACATATTATATAGTCATCTCTTTTTCTTCTGGTCTCGCATATACCAAGGATATCCCATTTTATATCCTTTAGTTCACTTTCTATTTCTGGGAATCTATTGTCGTCCGTCAGTGTTCGAATATTGTAGGAGCATAGCCAAATTGTCATCTTATGGCAGCCGGGTCTTAACCAGGGATTCTTAGCACCCCCTTCCGTTAGTTGTTTGATCACTGCCGTGATCAAGACTCTGGGAAGTGCTGGGCACTGGGGGCCTTTTCTTTTTTGTCCTTTACATTGACTTGAAGGTTAATTCTGCTCACATTTCTTGATAATTATATACATCTTGTTAATTTTTTTTCTATTACTTGGTTTATTTTTACTATATTTTTTGTTTAATATTTTTTCTGTATTACTCTTATTTTTTAATTATAATTACTATATTATCTTCTCATCTTTTTCTATATTCTGCATACTCTTAATTTTTCTTGTCTTAAAAATTAATCTCTAATCTCTTTGATAACTGTCAAAGACTATTTTATTATTTATGTAGTTGAGCAATCTTCTGAAACTTCCTTATCTCAAAATAATTATGAAATAGTCCCAAGTAATTCGGCTGGGCCGGGTCGTTGACATCGACAAGCTTGAAGCAATCTTGTAATAATGTCGATACAAATGAGTATGTATATTTTTATAAATTGTGTGTCGACGTTGGACATTTTTTCGCTCTGGTGAAAAAGGTCACGGAATAAAAATTAGTAAATTACACCTGAGAAAAGATATAAAACGCTGTTATTAAATTTTGCATTAAAAAAAATATCCAAATTTGATGAATGTAGAAAAACAACTATAGAATACAACTGAATATGTTTAAAGTAAAATTTGAAAATATCAACGCAAGAGTAGTTTTGGTGCATGGTTTCGCTTTTACTAATACTTGATAAGCTATATATTTGTCTTAACTAATAACTAACTTGATTCTAGCTAAACCCTCTGCATACTGTCCCCACAATCAACGACAATGGCTTTGTTTTATGCGAGAGCCGACCAATCATGACCTACCTTGCAGATCAATATGGTAAAGATGAGAACCTTTATCCAAAAGATCCTAAGAAGAGGGCTATGTTGATCAGAGGCTGTACTTTGATATGGGAACTATGTATGGAAGATTTGCTGATTATTATGTAAGTATTTAATCTTTAAAATATTTTATTTTCAGGAAATAAATGATATTGCTTGTATCTGCGTTTTTATCCCTCCCTAAATCCAACAACAAACAAGTTCACTCAAACAAGTTCATCTGAATAAGCTGGCCGCCTTTGAATTTTGGTGTTACAGAAGAATCCTACGAATATCATGGATTCAAAGAATGTCAAACATGGAAGTAACTAGAAGGATAGGAAATGAGGCGGAAATAATATTAACTATTAAAAGACGAAAACTTGAGTACTTGGGACATGTGATGAGAGGGCAAAAATACGCATTATTACAACTTATTATGCAGGGCAAAATCCGAGGAAAGCGAAATGTGGGAAGACGAAGAATATCCTGGCTTAAGAACGGGAATGGTTTGAATGCAGTAGTGCAGAACCTTTTAGAGCGGCAGTCAACAGAGTCCGCATAGCCATGATGATTTCCAACCTTCGATAGAAGATGGAACTTAAAGAAGAAGAAATCCAACAACACCAAACAATTTGACTGATAGTCGTCTTATGCCCCGTATATTAAAGTAATTTTGAAAATAATTCAAAACAAAATTTACGAAATGGGGAAAGAGGCTATGGGCCCAGAACAATTAGGTATCAGGAACGGTATGGGAACCCGGGAGGCCTTGTTTAGTTTCATTATGCGTATGCAGAATGTGGGAGTTAGACAAGGTTGTATGCTCTCCTCATTATTATTCAACCTGTACTCATAGAAAATCTATGCACGAGCTCTGAATGAGCAAAAAAATGAGCAAAAAAGATTATCGACATACGACTGAAAAACAACTTCAAACTTAGAATGAACAAAAAAGAATATGAAGATTAGAAGGAGACCTTTTAGCTATCTGATCAATTATGATTTCTAGTTTTGTTTTAATTTTTGTACATTACAAACTATATTTTACTTATCTTCTTATCGTTAATGCTTATTTTCCTTTTAGTATCCCGTGATCTTCGGTGGAGCCAGTTACGACCCCGACAAGTTGGAGAAGATCAAAGAAGCCTTCACCTTCCTCGACCAGCTCATTGACAACAACGACTTTGCTGCTGGCAGCAACCTCACTTTGGCCGACTTGGCCCTCGCCTCGACAGTTTCCACTTACGAGCTGGTAGGATTCGATTTTAGCTCCTACAAGAACGTAGCCAGATGGTTCGAGAAAGCCAAAGCTACGATTCCTGGATACGAAGAGGCCAACGCTGAGCCGCTGCAGCAGTTCAAAGCATTGATGGAGAAGTTGGCAAAGAAGTAGATATGATTGGATGCAGTATTATTTTTAAGAAAGCGTTGATGCTCTAAAATTATTGATTTAAACCACTTGAAGTTGTATTTTACTATTTTTTAATAAAACCCGTTTTTTGTATATCTGCTTATTTTACTTAATTCATAGAGTTCATAGAAATTTATAGATGTTTTAGAAAGATTACGATAGTTATTTCATATAATTTAATTGGAGAATGTTATCGAATTACTGTGTAACAGGAATTGCGTAAAATTTAGTTACATTCAGAGAAAACATAATTAAAGCGCGAGGAAACTATGACGTTGACAAAACCCATTGTATAATTGAGACCCCTAACTCGAACGGAGCCGTATCCCTCTTGATAATGGCTTCAAAATGGGTGCCGAAACGTCGAGTTTCAAATTCTCAACGCGGTTCTTCCCGAGAATTTATGTATGAAAATTACTAAATTCTCGGGAAGAACCGCGATGAGAATTTGAAATTCGACGTTTCGTCACCCATTTTAGAGCCCTTATCAACAGGGATACGGTTCCTCTCTAGTTCGGGGTTTCAATTTGCCTACTTCCCTCAATCGTGCCAGTATCTTGTTCTGTAAAAATTGAAGAACCGTCAAACGGCACTGATGTCTCAATCTGCCTGCTCTTCATTGTCGAGTGACGACCGTTCTTGCCCTGTGTAGCTGCTTTTATACTCTCAGTATGAGCGGAAACGCTCTGAGTGGGATGGATCGGGCGGGGGGGTCGCCATGTTGCCGGCAGTAGTTTAGCGTCATCGCGCGTGTTTAAGCTGTTAGGCCGTATTTCAATTTGGATGGCTTTATGAATAATTCTTGATTTTAAGGAGCGGATGGAGGCGATGGTTTTTGCTTTTTCGAAATCTATTTTGTGACCTGTCTGCGTATAATGTGGGGCTAGGGCTGAAGTAGTATCGGAATGTTTTACAGATATAAAATGCTCATAAATACGGTTATGGATTCGTTGCTTTGTCTGTCCTATGTATGTACGTGGGCAACTGGAACAAGGCATCTCGTAGACACCATGGTCTTAATTGGGGATTTAGTGTTTTACGGATCTGACGAGATTGGACAACTTGGAGTGAGTAGTGAAGATGGTTTTGATGTCTAGAGGGTTAAGAGTTCTACTGATCTTGTCAGTGACACCTTTAATAAAAGATACAAAGATTTTTGGTTGATCATGCGGCAATGTTTCTGTTTTGGATGGAATGGAGTTTAGATGTTTTTGAATGCTTCTATTGATTTGAGTTTTGTGATTTCGGATGATCTGTGATTGTTGTTGCTAAGACTTATGAAACGAGAAACAAGAGTGTTGATAACTGAATTGAGTTTGACAGGGTGATCAGGTGGCTGGTCATTGATTTAACGGTTTGTATAGGTAGGTTTCCGATACACGGAATAGGAAAAACTGTGAGGTGGAAGTTTCTTAATAACAACATCAAGGAATGGCAAAGACGCTTCAGACTCAACTTCCATCTACTGGGATGTATTCCATTCACGTGGGATAGGTAGAGATTTAATGTGTCTTTACGATGGGGCCAAATGACAAGGGTGTCATCAACGTACACCAGAGTGTTTTATTATAAGAGATAATATGTCTTAGGGGATTTGATGTCTAGAGTGCAAGATGGAAATCGTTTCATCAATAGGAATTTTGGTGAATAAAGAAACAATGTTCTACTAACATACATAATTAGATTAGATAACAGAATTCGAAGAAAGTGATACAAAGTATACCATAATTATGGGAGATTTCAACGCAATATTAGGTGAAACAGAAGAAAATACTGAAACCAAAATAGGGATGCATGGTTATGGCACACGAAATGAAAGAGGAGAAAAATTATATAACTTCTTAGAACAACAAAATTTATATGCCATGAACACACACTTCAAGAAAGCAGCAAACCGAAAATGGACGTGGGTATCTCCCGATAAAAAGACGAAAAACGAGATCGATTACTTCTTGTGTGGGAACAAAGACTTTTTGAAGATATAACTTCTCGCAATAGATTTACAACTGGCAGCGATCATCGCCTTTTAGGAGCAAGGATTCTTATTAAACAGATGAGAACCAGTAGAAACAGGCCACATAATTATTGTAATCAGATAGATCAAACTAAAATACGACAGAAGGGAGATGAGTACAGAGACGTCTTAAGAGGAGAATTTGTAGAACATCATGAACAAGAATATTTCGACATGAACAGAATTAATAAAGAATTGCAACGAAAGCTCTTGAAATCAGTACTAAATGTTGCAAAGAAAACGAAAAATAAAGAGGACCGAGTAAGTAAAGGAACAAAACGGTTGATGGAAAAGTGACGCACATTTCTAAGCGAAGTAAAACGAACCATCAATGGTTTCAAAGAATTGAATAAAGAAATTAAGAAGGGGGTAAAGGAAGATTTAAGGATCTATAATGAAAACAAGGTAGAAAAAATAATAGAAAAGAACCGAGGCCTGAAATGCTTAAGATCAAACTTGGGAAAGCCTATAATAATCTCATTGAAGGATAAAGATGGATAAAGAAGGATAAAGAAAGAAGAGAAAAGAACGAAATCCTAAAAGTTACTCAAACATTTTACCGTGATTTGTATTCCTCAGACAAGAACCCAGAAAACACTGTAAAGGAAGATCTTAAGAACAAGATAACGAATGTCAACTCAGAAATACTCATTAACATAGAATCCTTCGAAATAAAACATGCTATGGCACAACAAAAGAACAATAAGGCACCGGATACAGATGGAATACTTGTAGAAATGCTGAAGGAGGGGAGTGAAATTATTATCGAAGAAAATCCGTAAAATAGTTTCGAATATTATATTTTGAATATTAGCAAATATTTAATATATATATATATATATATATATATATATATATATATATATATATATATATATATATATCAAATATTTGCTGTCTTTTTCATTTTATTCTCGTAGAATTGAAAACATTTTTCAACAAATGTCTTCACAGAGGAGAAGTCCCAGATGATTGGAATGAAAATTTAACAACACTTCTCTTCAAAAAGGGAAACGGGGAAGATCTGAAGAACTATAGGCCAATCTCCCTGCTGTCCCAAATGTACAAACTGTTTATGAGAGTAATAACTAACAGGTTAACGTCGAAGCTCGATAGCTATCAACCGGTAGATCAGGCAGGATTCCGAAAGGATTACAGTACAGCGGATCATTTTCTTACAGTCAGAACTCTTAATAGAGAAAGCGAATGAATATCACTTGAAATTTTACATTGCCTTCGTTGATTATGAAAAGGCATTCGACTCCATAGAACTTTAGGCAATAGAGAGAGCTATGAACGACTGCAGAATAGACTCCCGATACAGAATTCTCATACATAACATTTACAAGAAAGCTACAATGAAAATACAAATAGATGCAAAAACCAAAGCTATACCAATCAACAGAGGAGTCCGCCAGAGAGATGTTATCTCACCAAAGCTATTCACACTTGGACTGGAAGACGTTTTTCAAGACATTAACTGGGCAGATAAAGGAATAAATGTTAAAGGAAGAAAACTGAGTTATTTAAGATACGCTGATGACATTGTAATATTTGCTACAAGTTTCGAAGAACTAAAGACCATGATGGTGCAACTATTTCAAGCTTCGGAAAAGTAGGTCTTAAGATGAACTTGTAAAAAAACAAAAATAATGACAAATACACCGAACATTAGAGAAATAACGTTGAACGACATACATTTAGAAACAGTAAGCGAATACATCTACCTGGGACAGATAATGAAAGTTAACAAAGAAAATTAAACTGTCGAAATTGCCAGAAGAATAAGGTTATGGTGGCAGGATTTGGAAAACTGAGTTGGACCTTAATAGAGCTAAAATAGAACAATATTTGAAAATCAGAATTTACGATCAGTGTATCCTCCCTATACTCAAGTATGGTTCACAGGCGTGGACACTCACCAAGTCTAATATAGATAAAATAGTAACAGCACAAAGGACGATGGAAATATCAATGCTCGGGGTGAGACTTACAGACAAAAAACAAACAAATGGATTAGGAGCAAAACTAAAGTACAAGACGCAGGAGAACATGCTGCCAAATTAAAATTTAGCTTCGCAGGACACAATGCCCGACTGAACGATAAGGAATGGAACCACGAAATACAACAATGGAGACCATGGTTAGGAATGAGAAGCAGAGAAAGACCACAAATGAGATGGGTGGATGATATTAAGAAAATCGGAGGACACAGCTGATTTAGGGAGGCCTATGTCCATAGTTGGATAACTTAAAGCTGAAGAAGAAGGAGAAGAAGGAAACAATGTCAAAACTGACTAGTATATTGGAGGGTGAAATAGAAAAGTTTTACAGAAGATCAATGAACTGAAAAAAGTTTTTGACAAAGGAGGAGGCGTCTTCAGCTAATGATTATAAAGATAAGGCGAGATGTTTTGCCAATTTCTGAGTGGGGTAGTTATATGCACTGACGATGGGTCTTACAGAAAATTGGGATTATAGATTTTTGGAAGACCGTCTTCTACTTAGGGTGCCTGTCCGTTCCGACCGTTGGCGATCATTCTGGCTATGATGACTTTGTTGGTTGCTATACGAAATAGCTGTGTTGAGGTCTTTTATACCATGCTGTCAGTTAGCAAGCCAGGATATTCTTCTTCGTCCTGGGGCCCTTTTTCCTTCAATTTTATCTTGTAAAATGCATTAAAGTAGCTCGTATCTGCCTTGATTTCTCATTATATGGCCCAAGTACTGCAGTTTATGGCCCTACACGATGTTGGCCAAATCCGCAGTTGTGTTCATTCTCCGCAGTACATGGAAGACCGTATATATGGAAATCGGAATGATCTCTGGGTATAAGAAATTTTTTGATGTCAGGAGGTAGAGGAGACTTATTTATGATGCATTTGGTCGTTTTTTTCTAAATAGGTGGTGGGATCGTTTGGGACGCGTCTGTATTCTGTGGAATTGAGAAGTTCAAACATTTTCTCGAAATAATTAAAAGAATTGAGAATGACGGTGGCATTACCTTTGTCGGCCGGAAGGATGACACTATCAGGGTAGTTACAAAGTTCTTAAGAGCACTTCTTTCTGAAAGATTGATATTTGTCGGTGGGAGTTTGGAGAATTCTGGCGACATCTTGTCTGGCAACTTCAGCTTAATCGGAAGGACGGTGAGAAATAGCTTGTTCAGTTTGACAAATAATTTTCTCAGTTGGGATTGAAAGAGGAGTGACAGAAAAACTGAAGCCTTTTGACAGAGCTTTGGTAGCTGAATCATCATCATCATCATCATCATCATTGGCTCTACAACTCTAGGTGAGTCTTGGAAGCGTTTACTATTTCCCTCCATTGTTGTCGGTCCTGAGCAGCTATTTCCCACTGTTGCACTTCCATTTTACGTAGATCGCTGGCCACTGCGTCTTTCCATCTCTTTCTTGGGCGGCCAACTGACCTTCTGCCATCGGGCCTTTCCCAGAATGTGGTGTTCAGAACTCTTTCGTTATTTGACCTTAGGACGTGGCCCGCCCATCTTATTCGGTTTGCTTTAATGTAACGGACTATGTTTTCATCTCTCATATATTGACTGGAGTTCATTATTGTGTCTTCTTCTCCACTCTCCTGTTGTTCCTTCTCTACAAGGCCCATAGATAGTCCGCAGTATTTTTCTTTCAAGAATCAGTAATTTTGTCGTTTCCCGCTGGTTCAGCGTCCATGTCTCGTTTCCATACGTTATTGTGGGTCGAATTATTGTCTTGTATACTCTTATTTTTGCAGATCTTGAGAGTATTTTTAATTTAAGGATGGTCATTAAAGAGTAATATGTCCTGTTTCTTGCTATTATCCTGGCTGCCACGTCATTTTCATATTTGTTATCAGATGTTATGATCGCTCCCAGATACTTAAACTTTTTGACGACTTCGAAGTTATATTCGTTAATTGTTACGTTTTGCCTAACCCTTGGTCTTGGGTTCTTCGTAACTACCATGTACTTGGTCTTATCCTCGTTTACCTTAAGACCAATTTCCTTGGCTCCGGTCTCGAATAGGGTGAAAACTTCGTTTGCAGCTCTGGTGGATTGTGCTATTGTGTTCACGTCATCCGCAAAGGCCAATAGTATTTTTGATCCTTGTGCGGCAAATCCGTTTGTCAATTGTGGCTGAGCTTTCCTTATTGCATGTTCCAGTGCAAAGTTAAACAACAGGGAAGCGAGAGAATCTCCTTGTCTAAGCCCGGTGTCAATGTGGAATTCCTCCGACGTGGTGTTGCCAATTGTGATCCGTGCGGAAGCGTTCTCCGTGCTCACCTGTGCTAATCGTACCAGCTTTCCAGGTACTCCCAATTCTACCATGGTCTTCCACAATGCCTCTCTGCTAACAGAATCGTAGGCTTGTTTAAAGTCACGAATATTTGGTGTACGTCGCGATTGAATTCCCAGTTTTTTTCCAACACTTGGGTAGGACGAAGATCTGGTCTATGGTCGAACTTCCCGGTCTAAATCCACTTTGATAGTCACCTATTATTTCCTCTGAGTATGGAGTTAGTCTTCTAAATAATATTGTGGATAAAATTTATCTATTTAAATTTGTAGCTGAATCGGATATATGAATATCTGAGAAATTGCAGTTACTGTACATTGATGACACCATTGTCATTTGGCCCCATGGCAAAGACATATTAGATCTTTTCCTCACCTACCTGAATGCCATTGCTTTTGCCATTCCTTGATGTTTTTATTCAAAAACACCCACCTCACAGTTTTTCCTGTTTCGTCCCAACTTAATTCTGTTATCAGTTATCTTTAGATTGCGAAAAGATAAAATAATTTGGTATCTACTATACATCCAAATGTATTCATGCACTACTGGAGGAGAATGAAAAATAAATGTATGTCTAGAATGCAAAGAAGTTCCTTACAAAAAATGTTAATTTCCCTGTATAAATAATTATTCTGTACAAAATAATTGGACAGCTATAATTTATATCCTCAATTACATGGCATGACTCGCGCCGCCAATCAATTTAAAAAAGAACTACAACATAGTTTCTATATTTTGCTATTTACAAATTCCTACAAAATAATGTGTAAACTTTTTATTGTACATGGACTTAACCAACCCTTCAAGATAAGATATTTTAACAAATCACTACAGGTGTTGTTTAAATACATCTCTACATATTCTAAGATTTGTCTAAACATGTATCTGTCAAGTATGATGTGAAGATAATCTGTAAATGACAATGTTTACTTCTTGTACATATAAACTTTAACATCGACTAGAAAATAAAATTACTCTATAATTTTTGAACGATTGAATGATTATGAACATTCTTAGATCTCTGATATTTCTTAGTTTTATATGTGGATATTTAGCGTTTAAGGTAATGTAGTTATGATTTTTTATAAAGCTAAAATATTCCAAAGATTTAATACCTATGTATAGAAAATCCATTTTTGTTAATATATGTTATATATCTAGTTACTTAGCAATACAACCAACCCAAATGTGCTAGTAGAAACAACAAAAGGATGGGTTCTGGGAAAGGAAACAAAAACTGTTAATCTAGGAAACACATATGTACACTTTGCCGGGATTCCCTATGCCAAACCTCCCGTAGGAGATCTAAGATTTGCTGTAAGTATGTTTTGTTTTATTTTTTATTATTATTCTACTCTTATCGGTAACTTCTTAAAGCTGTTTTTCAAGTCCAGTCAATTGCTTTTAACCATTTAACTACTTAAGAAACCTGCATAAATGTAGGTATAGCAATGAAAGCAATCCTAATTCGCTTTTTTAGCCTCCTGTACCAATTGAACCGTGGGAAGAGATTCTGGATGCCACGAAAGAAGGAAATGTCTGTGTACAGTTCGATATTGGTAATGAGGACTGCCTAACCATTAACATCTACGTACCTCAGGTAAAACGACTTATTATACATTTATTATATTATATTTATATATATATATATATATATATATATATATATATATATATATATATATATATATATATATATATATATAAACTTTAAGCCCGTGGATCACCTATAGAGCCTTCTTCTTCTTGATGTGCCTGTCCGTTACGAATGTTGGCGATCATCATGGCAATATTTATCTTATCTTTAGCAGCGCTGAAAAGCTGCAAATGTGTTGTTTTAAACCAGATTCTGAGGTTCTTTAACAAAGATGTTCTTCTTCTTCCTGGACCTCGTTTTACAAATATTTTTTCTTGCAGGATGGCTTGAAGGAGAGCATATCTGGATTCATTTCGCATTATATGTCCGTGGAATTGTAACTTTCGAGATTTGATGGTGGTCAGTACCTCTCTTCTTCTTCTTCATGTAACCTTTCAGAATGTTGGTTACCATCATAGCTATTTTAATTTTATTCGCTGCCACCCTAAATAGCATGCTTGTATCTACACCATACCAATCTCGCAAGTTCTTCAACCATGAGGTTCTTCTTCGTCCTGGACTGCGTTTGCCTGCTATTTTTCCTTGCATGATATTTTGTAGCAATCTATATTTGGGACCTTTCATTACATGTCCGAAATATTCCAGCTTTCTCTGCTTGATGCTTTTTATGATCTCAGTAGTCTTGCTGAGACGTTCTAGTAATGTGGAGTTACGAATCTTCTCCACCCAGGAAACTTTTAAAATTCTTCTATAGCACCACATTTCGAAAGCCTCAAGGCGATTTAGATCGATTTTATTCACAGTCCAGGACTCGACAGCATAAAGTAAGACCGAGAACACGTAGCAGCGAAGTAGGCGGATCCTTAATGCCAATTTTAGGTCTCTGTTACATAACACCTTGGACATCCTTCTAAAAGCACCTCTAGCCTGCTTTATTCTGGATCTAATTTCGCCATGATTTTCTGCATTACAATTTAATTGCTGTCCAAGGTAGACGATTTTATCAACTTGCTCAAGTTTGGTATTATTTACATATATAGACGGTTTTATATTCTGTTGTTTACTTATTACGAGTATTTTGGTTTTCCTTATGTTAAGATCCAGACCTGCCTCCCTACAACTCTCAACGACACTATCAAGTAGTGTTTGCAGATCTTCTTGACTAGAAGCTAGGAGTACTGTATCGTCCGCATATCGCAAATTATTGATGACTTCGCCGTTCACAAGTATTCCTTCTTGTTTTTCAGATAGTGCTTTTCTGAAAATTCTTTCGGAGTAAACGTTAAAAAGCAGGGGTGACAAGAGGCATCCCTGCCGTACTCCTCTTTTAATATTGAGAGCTTGTGATTCCACACCATCTACTAAAACTGAGGTTGTTTGATTCCAATATAAATTTGCAATTATTCGAACATCTCTGCCGTCCAAGCCAATGTCTTTTAGAGCTTCGATCAATATACAGTGCTTAACACGATCAAATGCCTTTTGAAAGTCAATAAAACAACAGTATATGTCTACAGATATATCACGACATCTTTGAGCAAGTACGTTCATTCCGAACAGTGCCTCTCTCGTTCCAAATCCGTTACGGAAACCAAACTGAGTGTCGTCCAGGTATTCCTCACATTTATTGTAGATACGACCTTGTATTACCTTCAGAAAAATTTTCAATAAGTGGTTTAACAAACTGATGGTTCTATAATCAGCAAAGGTTTTTGCTGTTGTCTTCTTAGGTAGAGCTATAAACAGTGAGTTAGACCAACCATTAGGTAGTTGTCCGCTGGTATAAATGGTATTGAAAAACGAAGTTATAGCCTCTAAAACATTGTTATCCTTTATAAGCTTATATATTTCAATTGGAATTTCATCAGGACCAGTCGCTCTGCCATCTTTTGATGATTGTATGGCCTTTATAACCTCACAGCGTGTTATTAGGGGTCCGTCGCAGTTAGTAATATCGGGAGGTGAACTACTCCTATCGTCTTCGAATAGGTTCGTGACGTAATTTTCCCATTCTTTAAGTTTGTCCTCTACTTCGAATATTACTTTACCATTTTCATCCTGTAGCAATGCATTTTGTTTCTTATTGAAGATACCAGCCGCTTCTTTTACTTTTTTATACATGTTAAAAGTGTCGTGTATCTTTTTTCGAGTTCTTCAATGTCATGACACTGTTTGTCTAGATGTTGACTCTTTGCTTCTCGTATTTTACGTCGAATTTCTTTTTGTATGCTATTGTAAAGTGTTTCGTTGGTTTTTGCTAGTCGCCGTTGTTCCATCAAATCCAGTATATCATCTGTCATCCAAGCCTGCTTTTTTGGCTTTGACCTGCCTTGTAAATTTCTCACACAGATTTCTTTTACTGTCGTTACGATTTTATTTAAGCCCTCATCGACGTTTTCACCAATATTTTCCCAAATTAAATTTTCGTTCAGTTGTCTTTGAACTGATTCCTTAACTTTCTCGTCTTGTAGTTGGGCTGTATCAATCTTTTTGCGAGACTTCTTTTTGATCACCTTTTTTAATTTTAATTGGGTTACAGCTACTATGGGATTGTGATCGGACCCAATGTCAGCACCTGGATAAGTTTTAACTGATTTGATGCAGTTTCTAAATCGATTTTTTATTAGAATGAAGTCGATTTGATTCCTAATAATTTTGCCCTCTGATTCTGCATTTGACTTCCAGGTGTAGAGTCTTCTCGGTGGTAGTTTAAAATGGGTATTCGATATAATGAAATCGTGTTCTTGACAGAACTGGACAAGTCGATCTCCACGTTCGTTTCTGTTTCCCAAGCCATATTCCCCCACAATGTTCAAACAGCGTCCTTTGCCGACTTTAGAGTTAAAATCTCCGAGGACTATGGTATTTTCTGCTGCTTTGACAAGATCTAGAGCATCAGTAAGATCTTTGTAGAATGCTTCTAATTTATCTTCACCACTAGATGATGTTGGGGCATAGACCTGAATTACGTTGGTAATGAACGGCTTTGAACTAAATTTTACTAGCATTACTCTGTCAGATATAGGAATATAAGTTAAAACTGATTGAGCTAAGTGTTTTGCTACTACGATTGCAACTCCATTATAGTGATTGGCATCTGTATTTCCGGCTAGTACCTCTCGGTTCTTATTTATTCTTCTGAGGACCTCCTCATTTGTGACTCGGTCAGTCCAATGGATCTTAAATATTCTCCGATATAGCCACATCTCAAATGCTTCCAGTTTTCTGCACATATCTTCGTTCAATGTACGCGATTCAACACCATAAAAAAAGGACAGAGAAGACGTAGCATCGCAGCATTCTTACTTTTGTATAAAGAGAGAGGTTGTGACTCTTAAAGAAGGCCCCCATCCGATTGAAGGTGGATCTAGCTTTTCCCATGCATGCTCTAATCTCCTGGTTGTTGGTCCATTCTTCATTTATTATGGTGCCGAGGTAGTTGTAGTGAGTCATTCTTTCTACAGGGGATCGGTTGACGTAGAGTTGACCTTCTGTTATCCTTTTCTTGCTAATTATCATAACCTTTGTCTTCTTAATGTTTATATTGAGTCCATATTGTTGACTGTAGTAGGCGATTTTGTTCATAAGAGCTTGTAGGTTTTCTAAGGTATCCGCAAATATTATGGTGTCATCTACATATCTGATGTTGTTTAGCCGATAACCATTTAGTAGAATACTTTTTTCAATTTCGTGCAAAGCTTCGATAAATATTCTTTCAGAGTAGAGATTGAAGATTAGGGGCCGATTGTTCGAACGCTAATCAAAACTAAATTGTAATCAAATATTTAATTTCAATCAAATACGTCACAGCAGATGCCAAAATTTTTAAAAATTGCTTATTATTATTATTATTGATAAATAAAAGCATGAAATTAACATCAGAAAGAGTTTAATCATGGTTTATTTTAAATTAAAACGCAAAATAATAAAATTGAATAAAATAAATCAGTTAACATAACCTCAAAGTGTGACGTATTTGATTTTTTTAATCATTTGATACAATCAAGTTTTGATTAGCGTTCGAAAAATCGGCCCTAGAGGAGACAAAATACAGCCTTGCCTCACGCCATGCATGGTTTTCACATAGTCAGTGTGTTGACCTTCAACTCTGAGAGTTGTTGTCTGATTCCAGTATAGATTTCTAATTATTTTCAGATCTTGGTTGTTAATCCCTGCTTCTTTTAGTATTTGCATCACCTAGGCGTGCTGTACTCGATCAAACGCTTTCTCACATCAACCAGACATGTGTATACGTCGCAGTTGACGTCTCTGCATCTCTGTAATAAGACTTGTAATGAGAACAAAGCCTCTTTAGTATCAACAGCATTTGTGAATCCGAACTGGTTGGGGGAAATTGGACTTTCACACAGCTTGTAGATTCTCTTATGAATTATCTTTAGAAACAATTTTAGAAAATGACTCATGAGGCTTATAGTACGGTAATCTTCACATTTTTTGGCTCTTGGTTCTTTTTTTGGAAGTGCAATAAACTCAGATTTCAGCCATTCTGTTGGTATTTCTCCAGAAAGTTGTTGAATATCTTAAGCGATTATTGCTATTGATTCGTTGTCCATTAGTTTAAGTAGTTCTGCTGGTATATTATCAGGACCTGCCTCTTTGCCATCCTTTAACTTTTGTTGATCCATCATTTACCTCTTGTTCTAGCTCAAAGGTGTTCTATCTCTTTGGTCTTCAAATAGTTTTTCTAGATATTCTTTCTACGTTCTTATTTTACGCTGTTTGTCCAAGATGATGTTTCCATCAGAATCAGTTATATTTCTTTTCTGCCTTCGTCTTAGTCCCCTGTAAGTTCTTTAACTTTCCTATATACATTGTGACTATCGTACTTTGACTGCAGGGTCTCAATTTCTTCGCATCTTTTCCTTGCTTCTTTTTCTTTAGCTTCTCTTATTTTCGTTCTTATTAATATATTTATGGTTTTATATTTGTCTGGGTCATTTTTGGCTTCTCTTCTCTCGTCCGTTAGTTTCAGGATCTCATCTGTCATCCATGATTTTTTCTTCATTAATCTATCTGTCTTTAAGTGTTTATCCTTTACATTTTGCACTATTTCTGTAACATGTTTGGTCGTTTGTTCTTCGTTCGATTTGTCTCTAATTGCAGTTACTTGCTCGTTTAAGAGCCTTAACAATTTCTTATTTAAGCTAATGTAAAACCATTTTTAGCGTAGCAATTCAGACATAAAACCCTTACCAGTAATATTTTACATTCATGGAGGATTTTTCTTATTTGGAAATGGCGGGTATGTATACCAACCACCAGATTATTTCATAGAAGAAGAGATAATATTTGTAACCTGTAACTACAGGCTAGGTATTTTTGGTAAGTAGAAAATACAACCATATTTATTTGATCAACCTTTTCACAACAAGCAACAACAAGCTATTCATTCTCTAGAAACTTCTTCAACGTTTAGATCTTTCTTACATTTTTAGTATCAATTTTGACGTCTAATTGACGATCTTGATCAACCATGACGAAATTTTTTCTAAAACAAATGTTTTATTTTGAAAAAAACTTATGTTCTTTATGGTACAGTTTACTGTGAGCAGTTTTGATTGCGTGTATAAAACTTTTGTATTAACAGAGTCTACATTCTTGATAAATCAACTTATATGAAACCTACTGTACTGTACTTACATCACATATTGTATTGTACGTTACACTTTTTTTGTCGTACCCGTGCGATAAAACTTACAGTTTAATCGCATGGTATTTTAACCGCACTGTCTTAAGGTAAGCGCGCACTTGATCGAACCGGATGGCAATGGAACGCACCACAACTATCAGCAATGTATTGTCCACGGCACCGAGCTACGTTACTGTCCTTGTGCATTTAAATAAATCAGCGCGCACTTTACAGAAACAAAGCACACCAAATCGCACAGAAAATATATATTGGCGTTTAAGGCTCAAGTAAACGATGCGAGTTTACACACTAACAAACCAGCTTCTAAAGAGTGGGCTAGTAGGCGAGTTCGCTAGTAATCGAGTACACACAAAATTTTCCACTTGCTCAGTAGCCAACTAGCTGGCGTGTGGAAAGACTTAAAGACTAATGCTAATAGCCACTTATGCACAAGCTACTGTGATTATACATGGCTAATTTACAAACTAATTGGCTGAAAAGCAGACGAGTGTAAAGTCGCCGGAAAAATAAAAATAAAAATAAAAGTCGCCGGTAAAATATTCCACCATCACTGGTGACATTAAAACTATACTATACACTTTTTTTGTGATTAAAATACAGGGATCCAGTGTAGGGTGGGGCTTCGATGACTACGATAATAGCTCAGACACAATTGGGAAAATTCTTTATCACAAAAGTCTTTTTTATCATTTTCGACATTTTTCCTCTCTTCACAGGAGCATGAAAGAGCTTCACGGGTACCTACGCCTCTACGGAATCCAATATTGAGTTTCTTCAATATACATATCAAGTATTTTGTAAATGCGTTTATGGATGATCTTTAAAAACAAGTGTGTTAGACATCAGGCTTGTGGTCGGTGTATTCTCTAGCATTTCTGGTTTTCTTTAGTGCATACAATATTTCTTCCTTTGAAATTTCTATACTTGTTTCTCTGTCCTCGAAAGATGTCTTGTAGGTTACCTCTTTCGTTGTCGAAGAGCTCTTCCATATATTTTTTCCATCGTTTTAGCTTTTCGTCAGTTGTATCATAGTATTTCCATTTTTATCTAAAAGCGTTGTGTTTCTTTTTCGCAGCCCTGCCATTTCTTTAACCTTTTTATTTAGGTTGAATAGGTCGTATTTGTTCTGAAGATCTTTAATTTCTTTACATTTTTTCTTATAGTAAGTTTGTTTTGTCTCTTTTATCATTTTTCTGATTTAAATGTTAATGATTTTGTAATTGTAACTATTTTTATTCTTGGCTGGTCTTCTTTGGTCCGTCCTGCCGAGTATTTCGTCGTTCATCCAGTTGTCTCTCTTTTAATATCTCTTTGCATGGAACAAGGAGACAGTTTTTTAATGTTTTTCATTGTTGGTTTATCTCGTAGGTGTTAGTATCTAATTTATCAAAATTTTCGTATATTTTCTCTTGGAGTTTGTTTTTTTTATATCAGCTCCTTGCAGTTTTCTAACATCTAAATTTTGGAGTTCTTTTGGGGTTTTCTAATACGTTTAAGCTTAAGCATGACAGCGATTAATGGGTTATATTCTGATGTGACATCTGCTTCTAGATATTTTTTAACTAATTTGATGGTGTTACGATATCTCTCTTTAATCATTATATAATCGATTTGGTTTCTTACCACTTTTTCCTGTTTATCTGCTGGTGAGCATAATGTATATAATCATGCCATAGGTAATTTAAAGAACGTGTTTGTGATTATTGGACTTTGTTCTTGTCAGAATTGTATTAGACGATCTCCTCTATCATTACGTTCCCCTAGTCCTTGATCTCGCATTATTGCTCCAGCTCTTGCCTTGCCGACATTTGCATTGAAATCGGCCATAATAACTACCGTCATTTTCCTGTTCTTTGTCATTTTCAGTGCATCTTCAATTTGTTGGTAGAATGTTTATCCTTGATCTTCTGTTGCATCCGTCGTTGGTGCATTTACTTAGATCAAATTTAGTTTTGCGTCTGATGTCCTTATTTGTAGTAGCATCACCCTTTCTGAGATTGGGACAAAACTCTCTATTGACTTGTTGACCTCTGTATCGACAATAATTGCTACTCCACGTCTATGCTGGTTTTCAATGTTTCCCGAGTTATATAAGGTACGGGTTTTTGTCGAAAGGTATCCTGAGTTAAACCATCATGTTTCGCTTACACCTAATATATTTATATTCATTCTTGTCATTTCTTCAAGGATGTTATGCATTTTACCAGATTGATACATGTTTTGACGTTCCACGTACCTATTTTTGCTTTTGATAATTTTACTTTGTCTTGTTTCGATGTTTGACTAGGATTTCGCGGGTTAACGACCTGAGAGTCCTTGTCTGTTGATGATTACCATGATTGCCATCATGATTATACTAGAGATATCCAGTTGGATCTTTAATGCAGTTGTTTCTCCTTGCCTTCTACATCCTTATGCCATTGGCCATTTACTTCATTCATTCGCCTTTGGTGCCAATTTCTTAGCGCCAGGACATAAGAGTGCCCTTCCACTTACCAACTCATCCGCCCGAAATCGTTGATCAATAAGTGTGGGATTGCTTATGGCGGCAATCGTTCGGTGGAATTTTCGATATATCTGACTACCCTCATGATTACACAACCTACTAATTCAGTAACCAGCGCGCAGCGTTCTTGAAAAATATTTGGAATCTACAGCTGCTGCTAATGCAAATTCAGGATACACATAATCATTCCCACCGGCACTTCAAATGAAAGTTAAGTAAAAGATTTTCAGCATTGTACAAGAAGCAGAAATAAAATGTGTGCAAGCGAAAGATAATTTGCAGTTTTATAATAATCAAGTAGAGTTGCAAAGTAATTACTGAACCAACAACATATTTAAAAAATTCGTATTCAATATCTTTCACAGACGTGCAAAAAGTTCACAAAATTGATAATTAAATACATAAATAAAATGAAAACCAACACAAAAATTTAAATTTTTAGTTATTATTATATATCCCAGAATGTCCCAGATTTAGCCATACGGCTCACACGCCCTCTAAGGGGAAAATTCACTCATCCCAGATACCTATAGTATCAAAAGAATTGAGCTCTGGTGGGACTCTTTCCATGTTATCGAGTCCTAGGTGACTTGGTACGTCGGTGTATCTCCCAAAAATTTTCGCACGCATCTGGACGTCGAAAGTAGCACAGCTTTCTGCATGATCTGATATACAGGGTGAGTCATAACGATTGGGACATAGACTAAGGACAGGTTAGTTGGACCAAAATATGGCCATTGGGCCAAATATGCCTTAATAAAATGTTGCTGAGAAAAAAGATACAGGGTGTTAAAGTGGAAATTTAAAATTTTATTTTTGGCTATAACTTTCATGTTTGTAAACATTTATGTATAAAAATTTACAGCTGGCTACTATTGAATATCAGAAATTATAATTTGATACATACTTTACTATATCTAATAGAGGGCGCCACATATGCCACATACGTGGCGTACTTTTACACTTAACTTTTTTGTTCTTCAAGTTATTGGTATTCTTGATAAAAAACTATTAAAGATACATTATTTAAACAAAAAAAGGTATACGTATAAATAACTTAAAAACTCAACAGTTTTCGAGATAATCGCATTTTACAAATCAACTACTTAATTCTGATTTAATGCAATTACTCCAGGCAATGAAAGAAAAATAGATAAAAACATCAATACTTCTGAATTTTGTTATAAAATACCTTTAATAAAGTCATTAGTTAACGAAATATTAAATAAAATAAATATATCAGCAGGATAAATAATAATAGGATTTGATAAAATAACAGAATAATTGGATTTTACATCAAACATTTTACGTTTTGTATTAAATTAAAGTCATAATCAAATCATTTTATTTACAAACCAAATTAAAAAATAGTTAAACTAAATAACATTAAACTTTTTATCAAAGTCAGTGTTCGATATGTCCACCATTTTCTTTAATTCATTTGTCAATACATTCCATAAAATATCGTCTCATATTAAATAGCATCATTGGTTCTAAAGAAACTGCTGCAGTATTTATTATAGTTGTTTTAAGTATAATAATTAGTAATTTTTTGAAATTTTTATGAATTAAATAATTATTATTATCTCACCACAAGAATATGACTACCACGAACAATCCAACGTTCAGGAAAGTGTATTTAAATACTGTCTCACTCCGCTTTCTCTGTAATGTAATGGTGTACCATCGAAAAAAGGGGGGGTGGTTTTTAAATATTTTAAAGGTTTATCATCTAGTATTTGGTTCTCTCATAACAAACGATAATGACACATCTGAAGAAGTTAAACGGAGGGTACTGCTAGCAAACAAATGTTATTTTGGACTAAGCAAGCAGCTAAAAAACAGAAACTTAAGCCAGAAAACCAAACTAATAATATATCGAACACTCATCCTACCAGTGCTGACATATGGGTCAGAAACATGGACCATCTCCAAAACAGACGCAAATCTTCTGCTCGTCTTCGAAAGAAAGATACTAAGAAGAATAATGGGCGCATTCTGTGAGAATGGTATTTGGAGAAGGCGATATAATTTCGAATTGTACGAGAAATATAAAAAAATAGTAAATGGTAGAGATGTAATATCCTTCATAAAAATAGGCAGGCTTAGATGGGTGGACATGTGTCAAGAGCAAATGAGAATTACCCACCCAGACGAACTCTATTATCGGTCCCAGTGGGAAATAGGAGTAGAGGCAGACCACGACTGAGATGGAGGGACGGTGTGGACGAGGACGCAAGGAAAATCGGCGCGGCAAATTTTTTTAACGTGTCTGTGAAGTCCAGTGTCGGTTTTTTATATGTTTTTTAAGAATTTCAACAACTAAAAATCATAATTTTGAAATATAAGGAAATGAGATCTATCCATTGTAGTGGTACTTATAAATTGACGTAAGTTAAAAATTATAATCTTCACCAATTAGTACTTATAAGAACATTTTATTGTAGCATAGCTCTGATGATGGCTTTGTAAAGCCGAAAGCGCTCAGCTAGGAATTGCTTAAAATATACACACTTCAAAAATACTTTTTACATTTTCTTTTGACTTGTCATAAGTGTGTACAAAAAATATCAGTCTTTTGATTATTATTTTTCTTTCTCTCATCGTCTACGTCTCCACTGTGGTCATTTATGTCAGTCACTTCTCGGTTGCCTATATTTAATTTCTCAACAAAATTCTCTGCCCATCTCTCCACTATTTGATCCGGCTCATTGATAATTTCGGCTTCCTTACTTTTTATTAGGGTTATTCTAGGTTTAAATTCTTTTTTGTTGTGGTTCACATTTTTTTTTAATTTTCGCGCTTCGCTTTATGAATTGAGCCTTTCTAGTTCTTGTAGCTGGTTTTCTAAATGTCGTTTTTTTTGTTTTAATATCTTTTTCTCTGTTTGTCTCATCTGTTTGTACTCCTCTGGATTTTGTCTTGTCCTTCTGTTTTGGAGTTTCTCATACGCCTGATTCATTTTTTGAGTTGCCTGTATACATTCCGCATCATACCATTCTGTCCCCTTCCTTTCTTGTTTCTTCTTTTCTAAAACTGTTGTTGCTACTTCTTTCAGGAGATTTTTGCACCCATTCCAGTAATTATCTATGTTTTCAACAGTACTACTCATTTGGTCTTCTAGTTTTTCTTTAAGTTTGTGTTCAAATTTTCTAACTATCTCAGGGTTTCGTAGTCTGTCCACCTCGAATTTATCCTCTTTGCTACCTTTTCTTTTTTTTGAGTTAGAGATTCGTGCCCTCAGTTTAGTCTGGACCAGGTAGTGATCGCAGTCAATGTTTGCTCCACGTCTGGCACATACATTTATAACATTGCTGTTATGTCTTGCGTCCACAACAACATGGTCAATTTGATTGATTGTGTTACCATCTGGGCTAACCCAAGTGCCTTTGTGTATATTTTTACGCTCAAAGCATGTGTTGGCTATCACCATATTCATTGAGGCCGCAAGGTGTATTAAGCATGTTCCATTGTTGTTCGATTCGTTATGGAGGCTATATTTTCCAATGGTGGGTAGTTAATCGTCTTCTTTTCCTATTTTGGCGTTGAAATCTCCAAGTACTATTTTTATATCATTTCTAGGGCAGTTCCGTATTATTTGTTCCAGTTTTTCGTAAAATTCATCATTTTCTTCGTCAAGCTTATCTTCTGTGGCTGCATGGGCATTAACTACTGAATATTTGAAAAGGTCTCCCCTAATTCTTATTTTGTATTATATTTCTTATTTCTGTCGCTTATAACTTCAAAGTCTATTAAAAGGTGCTTCACTCTGCTGCTGACTATGAATCCTGTTCCAAGTTTGTGCTATGTTGGGTGGCAGCTATAGTACATTGTATATTTCTTTTTCTCGAATATTTTTCCCCAACTACCTAACTTCTTGAAGCGCTATGATGTGTATGTTATATTTATCCAGGATGTCAAGGAGTTCCTGCAATGCTCCACTTCTATATAAGGATCTCACAGTCCACGTACTTAATTGTAACTATTTATCCTTTTTCTCGCCAAGTCGTCATCTAGATTTCAGTCCGGAAACTTTACCTTGAATTCTCGTAGCATGCTGTTTTTTACGGTGTCAAGGTGTTAACCCTACCCCAACCCCCAACCTGGAGGGTCAGTTCACCCGCTGTCGTCAGTTTCCGACCCAACTTTCCACCCGGATTGGATACCGGATCTCCAGTTGGGTTGCTCGGTTTAACAGGGTCACCAGCGCTAAAGTGAGAGTCGGATTTGGGTAGAAGAGGCTAAGTGGTGTGAACTGGAAGCAACTCCATGTTTTCGCATTCTACCTCTTTACCCCCTAAAGAAAATCTTCTAACTACCCATTATTATGGATACAATATAGGCTGGAGTCAAAAGGATTCAAAATACAGCTAACTAATTGATGCACCTGTTTAATGTATTACTTAGTTCTTTTAGTCATTCTTTGAAACATTATAGAATATATAATAATCATATATTATATTTTGCATATGTATATTTTTTGACCAATTGCCACTTTCTTATTTAACAACACTTTGACAGGTTTTCTTTCGACTGAGGATGATGCATCTTATGGGAACTGGGACTAAAAGATCAAATTTTGGCCTTGCAATGGGTTAAAGATAACATCCAGTTCTTCGGTGGTGATAAGAATTCCATTACTATTATGGGGCAAAGTGCGGGATCTTGCAGCGTTAATTACCTCGTACAATCATCAAAAGCTAAAGGTAAACTAGCAAAGATAAATTATTGTAATTTATGTATAATAATAAATTTTTGTTTTTTTATAGATTTCTTCCACAAAGCCATAATGCACAGCGGTACCAGCCTGACCATCTGGTCTTTTGTTACTGAGCCTAGAAAAATTGCTTTCATCATGGGAAATTTGCTAGGAATAGATACTACGGACTCCAAAGAACTGGTACAAAGGCTCAGAGAAATGAACGCTTCTACCTTGAGCTTCATGTCAACCGTAATAAACATAGTGGTAAGAAATAATAAAAAACTTCTGGTTGCTTTATTTATCCGTTTAATTCCTTACAGTTGGAATTTATATATGATCCAAAAAACGGGCTGATGTTTGCTCCCACTATAGAACCGTACCATGAAGGGGCTGTTTTGACGGAACGAAGCTATGAAATCCTAGCTGCAGGAAAATTCAATAAAGTGCCAGTTTTGATGGGGTTTGTATCTCAGGAAGGTGCCGATATTTACCAATGTAAGTAAAAGACTCTTTCATTATGTAGATGGGCGGTCTATAATGTAATAATAAATTTAATATCTATATTTTTGAAGGAAGTTTTCTTGCCTTACAACTGTCTTCTTCGTCATTTTATATGAATGTCTTTTATACTACGATACATTTTCAGCTTTTAATAATATAAGGCCCTACCTCTTTATATATGACCTTTTTCGAGAAAAACTGCTACCTAAAAACTTAAACATATCAAAATCTGTACAGAAAGCTGCAACAGATGAAGTTTGGACGCAGTGTATTAACGGTTCTTTAGGTTTCAGTACTACAGATCTTATTCGGGTAAGTTTTTATATTTGCACTTACTTTATACTTCTTGGAAAATATTACAGTTTTATTTCAGTTCATTACTGAAGATCAGTTCGTGAGACCAATAGTGGAAACGGCACGACTGATGGCACAGCACACTGATGTTTATTTTTATAGGTTTTCTTATTTGGGAGAAGGTCTGGAGGAAGATGGACCTGGAATAGGTAAATAGCATACTCTTCACTGTCTTATTATTAAATATAACAAATAATACAGGGTGTAACAAAAAGGTAGGTCATATATTAAACCACAACCAGCTCACAAAATTAGCTCGATTATACACATATAAACTAGAATATGGTATAAAACAACAACAATAGCTCAATTGACTGTAAATGGTTGAATAGCTCATTGAACTAATGATTTAAATATAGACTTGTCTTGTTGGCTAGGAATTTCTATGAGAAAAAAATAAAAAAAGTTTTCGGCTTATGAGATAAAACAATATATTAGTATTCGTACCCGCATTACTGACACTAGAAAAACTTTGATAGATTATGTGCTTTTTTATTCGCAAAAAAATTGTTTTCACTAAAATGCAAAAAACTTTAATTTCGGCAAATGTTGAAAAATTAGTGGTAACTCCGGCTAAATGGTGATTTAATTCCGGCCAGTATATCAAAAGAATTATTTTTTTCTGTTTTAAACTATACACAAATATTTTTCGCAAATATGTATTTTAATATTGTTCTGAAGCTATTTTCTTGTGGCATTTTAAATTAATTACTATTTAATTGGGAATAAGCCACAATTAAAGATAAAAATACGTTTATTGACGTTTCAATTTCTATTTCGGAAATCGTTCTCAAAATACAAACAGTAAATTAAACAAATTTTGTTTTTTGTTACATAGTGAAAAATTCTTCTAATAATTTAATTTTATCTGACTCATTTATATTGACAATTCAGACATACATTATGCATTTTAAAGTAGACGACTTTAAAATGATATTGCCAATATTGTTGAGTTGCGCTCCTGGGACGACTTTACTTATAAGATAGTTCATTCGATTACATGAAATCAACTTTAACTTGAGAATATCCGTCAGAAAAAAATCATAGCATGTAATTCGTCTTTAAAAAGACAAACACATGACATGATGACAGTAAAATTCTATATACGATAGAGCCAAAATTACTTGTTCTAACGAAAATTCGTTCTTGGGGGAGAAACATTTGTTAACATCTGTTTTATTAAAAAATGATTATCCCTTATCGTTTATAAATAAGGAATTTTCAACAATCGATCAAATAGAACAGAACAACTTAGAATAAGATCCTACAGCATACACAAGGAATAATACGAGGAAAATAACAATACAGAAAAAACTTAAAAGGATAGGAAATAAATTCAACATTTCAACAACATTCAAAATAACAAACACGTTGAGATCTATTTTGTCCAAAACCAAACCTAACAATGAACAAGAAAGGACAAAGAATTACATTTATAAAATACCTTGTGAATGCGATCAGTTTTATTTAGGAGAAACATCAAGGCCATTAAATGTTAGAATAAGTGAACATCAATCTTATATTAAAAATAGAGAATTTGATAGATCTCAAATATATAACCACGCATGGGATAACGAACATAGTGTTCAATGGAATAATTCAAATGTAGTCCTAAAAGAAACGGATGGTAAAAAAAGAAAAATCAAAGAAGCGGCTCTAATTATGCTAAATGAGGCCAATTGTGTCGCAAATTCCTCGGCAGAATGTAGTAGGATCTGGTTACCAATATTGAAAGAGAAAGTTATTAATAAGAAAATACCAGTATTAGTAAGTCAGTAACATATAGAGGATACACAATTTATGTTTTTTAAATAACGAAACATACAAAATCAGAATTTTGGTGTTTATTGAAGGTAAACTAAATGCACGAACAAATACTTACCATGTCGGGATAGTATTATGAGGTTTTTTTTCCTGGTTTTTCCCTCATAATTTACTATGGAATCACTAACAGGAGAATTTTACTGTCATCATGTCATGTGTTTGTCTTTTTAAAGACGAATTACATGCTATGATTTTTTTCTGGCGGATATTCTCAAGTTAAAGATGATTTCATGTAATCGAATGAACTACCTTATAAGTAAAGTCGTCCCAGGAGCGCAACTCAACAATATTGGCAATCTTATTTTAAAGTCGTCTAGTTTAAAGTGTATAATGTATGTGAATTGTCAATATAAATGAGTCAGATAAAATTAAATTATTAGAAGAATTTTTCACTATGTATAAAAAAAAAAACAAAATTTGTTTAATTTACTGTTTGTATATTGAGAACGATTTCCGAAGTGGAAATTGAAACGTCAATAAACGTATTTATATCTTTAATTGTGGCTTATTCCCAGTTAAATAGTAATTAATGTATTTTAATATTTTCAAAGTAGGTATACAAAATACATAAGCATAATAACATAATTTTTATATAAAAGAGGCATAGAAAAACTAAATAAAATAAAACGATGTTCATACATAATACATTTTGAACATAAAAAAGACCCCTTTTATTAATGTACTGAGGCTTTGTATTTAAACAAAAAAATTTCCCTGGATCATACCAAATAATATAATCTGTCTCTGAAAATATTAATTATTAATTTATCTTCTGTTATTTCTTCTATTACTCCTGGAAAATGTTTCTTCTCGTAAACTACAATGACGTAGTCATATAGTCCGTAGTGTCCCACCTTTAAATTCACAGAATCGTTATCTTTGGGCTTTTTAATTATTTCACCTGTTTTTCTGTCAGAGCCAACATTTTTATTTAAAATTTCATTTTTCTTTTTTATTTTTTTGTCTATCTCTCCTCTTTGTTTTTCTTCAATTTATTTAATTAATTTAATTTTTTCTGTTCCCTTACCATCAGATTCTGCATTTTTCTTCGTGGTGCTTTTTTCTTTCTCTTCAAGCTTTTGTTTTTTCCTTGCTTTCTTTTCATTTTTCCAGCTTCTACTCTCTTTGGTACTCCATAAAATCATCAGCAATCATTACTACAGGTGTTAATTTTTTTGTAGCCTTTTTTTAGGCGTTTGAGATGTTTTTCTGGTGAAATAAAATGCATTTTTAAATGGCGTTGAAAATTTCGGAGTAGTGACAAAATAGGACAGTAGATTTTATGAGAGATTGATTTTCAAAATAGGTTCAGAAATTATGAACTATTTTACACCATGTAGCTGTGACAGGTCGGAATATATCAACATCAAGCGGATGCATGATTATGGAATTTGGAATCAGTGTTCATAAAGCGTTTCTGTATTCATTCATCCAGTTTCATTGTATCCGATACCCTAACCTATTGGCATAGTCGAAACTAAATGTTTTGGTAGCCTTGTATAGGGAAACAAAACTATTGGTGGTGGGATATCTTCACTAGCGGATATTGTTGCTAATAAGGTCAGACATTCTTTTTCGTCGTTAGCAGTTCTGTTATATACAGTTTTAAAGCTTCTTTTAACTAACACTTGTTTGTCCTGTGGAGCCATGAAAAAGGCTGTCTCGTCGCAGTAAAATATTCAGCTTAGATTTTTAAACACATCTGTGATGCCATTTTGACTGAAATAATCATATACTTTCTTGAACCAATTTCTTATCCTTTCCTCTGTAACGAAGGAACGGCTAGCTCTCAGATTTTGCGATACAACCCAGAATATAGTCCTTTTCCATCATATTGATAGCACATTATGTATGCAAATCCTCAACAGGTCAAAAAAACCATAGGCGTCACCCTATACTTGCTTCGAAATAAAAAAAATTAATATTTTAAAATGCCGTCAACAATTCATTATCTTTTAAAAAATCTTCTATAAAATAAGTGTCCACTAATCTCACTATACCTTTTTTGTGCGTAAAAAACGTCGGTATATATGCCACACGATTATTGTTAATTATACACGGGTGATTAACGAGAGAATTCAATGTTTCACGAAATAAATTAATGTAAACAGTAATTTAAAGGTGATTATTGTTTTCCATACAAGTTATCGCCTGACACAAGAAAAATACCTTCTTTGAACGATTACCTGGAATTACTGATAAGGCTTCACTAATGATAGTTTAAGTAGTTTTTATGCCACATTACCGCTATAATATAAATTAGAAATTGTTTGCATCTTCCATTTAGTTTGTAGATGTACATTGTTCATGTCTTACCTACCTACGTTTTTGTGTCGATATTTTGTTATTTGCATTTAAAAATTACGTTGACAACAGGTTTTACCCCGGTTAAGTGTAGTTTTAAAGGTGCCTTCAGTCTAAGAGAGAAAAATATAATATTAAATGTACACGATGCACTTGTACATCAACGTCCTTTAAGTAATGTTCGTGAAATCGTTAACATGTGTTGAAATATGACAGGGGTTGAAGAAGCAACAATTTATAGATTCCTAAAAGTAAGAAAAGAAGGACCTGTTTTATCTCCCAAGAAGAGTGGAGGGAGTAAACCCTTGGAAATTGAAGAAATACATAAAAACATGATAAGACGCAGCGTCCACTCATTTTTTTTTTAACAAAGAATTTTGAACATTGGACAAAATCCAAACATTAATTAGAGAAAACCAAGAGTTACCAATCATAAGCAACAAGAAATTATGGGGACTATTGAGAGAGATGGGATTTCGTTGGCAAAAGAATAGAAGAAAATCCGTTTTAATTGAAAAAGATTACATTGTATGTTGACGAGATTATCTAAGAACTATTAAAAAGTACCGAGAAGAAGGGAAAACAATTTTTTATTTGGACGAGACTTGGCTAAATGAAAGTCATACTGTACCATATCTATAAGTTGATACAAATGTGAAAAGTTCCCGTCAGGCATTCATCGGAGGTGTATCTACTGGTATAAACAAAATTCCCGTTGGAAAAGAACGCAGACTCATAATAACCCATATTGTAAACGAATACGGTTTTGTCAATGGTGGATTATTAAGTTTTGCCTCAAAATCAACTAAAGATTACCACGAGGAAATGACTGCTGACGTTTTTGAAGAATATTTTGAGCAAATGTTGGATGGAGATGGAATGGAGACTAATTCTTGAACAGACCCAGACCCACCCAGGGTTGTAGAGTAAAGATGATGATGATGACTTTCATAGTAGTAAACTTCCTTTTTACTTTTATAGAAAAGAATAAAAAATATGGGACGGAATTCGATAGTTCTTT